TGGGGTCACTATGAGTTGGTGTCAACTTGAAGGCAGTGGGTTTGGTTTTGGTTTTCCATTCATACATCATTTGAGGAATGGTGATGATGATAGCACTTATTGCAAACACTTATATAGAGTCTACCATGTACTAGCATTCTTTTACACATTTTACATATTTTGACTCTTAAGAATCTTATGAGATATGAATAATTATTTTACCCATTTGTATTAGGTTCCTAGGTCTGCCATAACAAATAATAATAAACTCAATAGCTTAAAACAACAGGTGTATATTTTTCAACAATTCTGAAAGTAAAACTTGCGCATGACTAGTTAAGTTGGGCAATCTACTTCCATAGTGATACTGCTTTGAAAACCCAAGGAGGGGTCACTATGAGTCAGCTCCAACTTGATGGCAAATAACAACAACAACAACAGTTAGTATCAGCTTTGTTCGAGACATGGTATCACTCACATTTATTGAATGCTGTATGATTTTGGACAAGCTCTAAACTTTCAGATATTCAGGTGCCATTTTTGTGAAATGGGCATGTATTATCTTCAAAGGGCTATTGTGACAAATATATAAATAAAATAATGTAGACAAAGAGGTTAGCACTGTGCTTGGAACATAATAAAGGATCAATAAACTATATGACCTGTTTCTACGGATATTGTTATTTTTAGGTACAGATAGCAGCATCATGCTTCTTGGACATTTGTCCTAATCTGGCCATAAGGTTGAGATAAAAGAATTTGTATTCTTATAAGGTTATATGGCCTTGTACCACTCACAAAGCCTACTGCAAAAACCTAGGGAAATTTTTGAAAGTGTGTTGCAAACTTTATAAAATAATGTATTCTTAGGAAAAGTCACTTCGTTGCTGCTATAGATTGAATAGTAGCACCGAAAGATATGTTGCAGCACTAACCCCTGTATCTGCAAATGTGACTTGTCTGGAAATAGGATTTTTCTTTTGCTATTAGTTAAAAGAGCTCATAGATGATAGATGCTGGGTGGTAATCCCTTCTGAGTGGTGATTTATTAAAGAGGTGAAGAGATACAGAAATAGAGTAACACAAAGGGGAAAAACATGCATTTGTAAGAAGCAATAGAACTCCATGGGTTGCTGGTCATTATCACAAACTGGGAGACAGAACTGGGACAGTTCCTGTCTAAATGCTCTGAGAAGGAAGTGACATGTCCAAATGTCCTGATTTGGACTTCTAATCTCTAAAACTGTGAGAAGATATATTCTGTTCTTGAATGCCACCCATTTTGTGGCATTTAATTACGACAACCCTAGGAAAACTAAGGTAATTTTGCTTTCTTATTAATCTATGTTATTGAGTTGTATACAAACATAATTTTATTTAATTTTATTTTTTATTGTGATACAGGTGCAAATTTGCAAAGCAGATTTGTTTCATTCTTAACAGTTCATGCACATTTTGTTCCATGGCCATGATTACAATCCCAAGTATACAAAGTTCTCCGTCCATCTCCTCCCAGTGACTACCTGTTCCCTGTGCCCTTCTTATGTGTGCATTCCTGTCTGTCCAGCTTTCCCTCTATGCAAATGTTGCCCTTCTGATGTCTCACGGTTGATTGATCTAAAGGGTGCATCTTCCTAGGGTAG